TTTTTAATTCACAACTGTACCTGTCGCCCGTCTTCATCGACCTTTCAGGGAATGTCAGTGAAAGTGGCGCCAATCTTGTGCCGCGCGGACCTCGCCGTGGGCCGATTGTGATGGGAAGCGCGTGCTTCCCCCATGCTTCACCCCGTTCTAGCGCAAAGGGTCCGTATGACGTGCGGTGAGAAACGAGCTCGTCGAATCTATGACGACTGCGTCACAATCCCGGCAGACATGAGGATACCAGTGATGCGATGGATGATGGGAAAGCTGCTGGAGTTGCCCTCAGACTGGTGGTTGTTATTTGCATGTTGCATCAATTGCCACCGCGCTGCGCTCCCCCTTCATTTATGGAGCACCTTTCGCGGTTGACGTGGTGATGGCCGTGAAAACCGGCGGTACTGGACTTCCACGCGCGACCTCCGCGACGCAGGCGTTTCTCTTTCAGCGGACTCCGATCACGAATTCAGATGAGGTCCGCCCGAGTCCTCGCGAAGTCGCTTCTCTGCCGTGGCCGTTGTGCCGCTGGTGTCTGGTGCTATGATGTGAGAGTGGACAAAACGGATCCGCCATGACGTTCCTGCTACCTACAGCATCTGGTATGTACCGTTATCCTGCTGCAGGTTCATCAACGCGTTCAGCAGCTTGGCGTGAGAGGCGAACTTGCTTGTACAAAAGTTGCGCTCCATAGGCAAGCGTATAGCCTGCACTGTGCCATGCCCAAATGAAGAGTATGGCCCCCGAGGAGTCATACCAGCCTCAGTGTACGGTGGCAAGGAGCCACTTACCGCGGCGGCCACGCTTCCCTCTCGCTGTCACTTGACTTGGTGAAACTTCTCACTGCGCAGGGTCTGAATACAAATAAACTGCACTCTTGATTACATTTCACCAAGTGATTTAACGGTAGGTAGCCTGGTTAGCGTGGGTTGACCGTATTCGCTCGTCCTCGCTCGCTTGGGGCGAGCACCCAAGCCAAGACGCCGTCGCCGCGTCGCAGGCGGTCCTCTCTCTCGCAACGCAGCGCGATTTTATGAATGCAGCCGAACCATGGAATCAAATGAAATAACCCCGCCCACGCCGGGCCTGCCGAAACTCCCGTCGTACCGCGAGAGCCTCTCAGCGCCTTGCGGGTGCCGCCCGAAGCTTCCGGCCCTCCATCGCCACTTCCAGCGCCTCGCTGTGAGCGGAGATCTCGCCGACGTCAACGTCTCGTTCCACGGGTTCACCTACCACTTGCACCGTAATGTTCTTGCTCAGAGCCCCTTCCTTTCTGGGCTGTTGAGCGACGCGTGGCACGCGCCGCCACCGAGCCCTGACACGGTCAGCGCAGCTCGCATCGACTTCTTGCCCACTGTCGTTGATGACGACGTTTCCGAGGAGCTACTTGTCGCACGCGCTATTCAAGCGTGGGAGACAGCTCTCGTCGCGCTTTATGGCGGGTGCTTCAAGTCGCTTATCGCGCGCCTCACGTTCGACTCATTTCTTGACGCTTTGGAGGTTGCAATCTACTTTGGTACCTCTATTCCGCCACCAAAGTGGGATAGCCTCATGTGACTAACACGACCGCGCGCGATAGACCTGCCACAGCTCATGGGCGCTTGTCACGAGTATTTCCTTTACCACCTTGGAGTCCTTGCCAACAACTACGACAAAAACTTAACACACAGAGCTGCCATGCTTGGGCGAGTCGCGGCCTTTTGTGACGGACGCGACCTTCCCGACCAAGTCGACTCGTTTCTAGGTATCTTGGTGGCCCATTTGCGCTATCTGGGCTCCCAGCTGAACAACTTTGACCTGCTTCAACATTGTCCCCCTAACTTTGCGAAGCACATCCTGCTTTCACCAGAGTTTTGGATTTCCTCCGAACTCAGGTATTTCAATTTCCTACGCACGTTCGATGCAATTTCGACCAAAGAATCGCTTGGTTCAGTTCGGTTCTTGACCATGATGGAGCAAGACCAGTATACTGTACTTCAAACACTTGCAGCAGCAAACAAGCTTGACCTTCAAGCCAACGTCAAGGCTGCCTTTTTTGACGCTGAGTTGCTCCACAAAGCTGTGCTCTGCAAGGTCCATGACAACAGCGCGCTTGGCGACGACTGGGCTGGCCCTGGCTCTCCACCCCATCGACCAACAATGTGTTTCTCATTGACTCCCCGCATCATTTTTGGTGCCGCTCCCCCAATGTCCGGGTCTTTGGTGATTATCAAATTTGGTGGCAGCCAATGGACCGCGTCCCTTGCCTTCATGGAGAATGGCAACTTGTTGAAACTCAGCCTGTGCGTTTTTTACCTCGATTTGTTCCCATACGGAGATTGAATCGTTCTGACTCTTCGTTTTCTAGCTCGCGGGACCCACCGGAAGCACGGGCTGCTGACCCAAGGCAGTTGACGCCGGTTCGTCTGCAGTACGTCACGTACACATTGTGTCGGACTTATGCGCAATCAAGCGCGTGTCCTGGTATATCCTGGGATCGGTCCACGTTCAATGCGTCGCCTGCGATTGTACACGCGACCACAATGTCTGACTGGGTCACGACCTCGCTGGCAAACGCTGCAGCGCCTTGGACATGCACTCTACCAGACCCAAAGCCGATCCGCGTGGGTTCCGCAGGCTACTTCTCCCTCAAGCTTTTTGTCGAGCTCCTCTGAATTGCTTCGAAGCAAGAAAGATCCTCCCATACATCCCGTGCGCGTTTCATTCATCTTTCCAACTGGCAACTGCAGCTCTCCCGTCGCGCTTATTCCAAGCAATCCTGCGCGGGTCATGTCGCGGCGATGGAGCTTCGTTTCAGGGGGAGGTTGGCCCTCGCGTAGGCGGCACTGTTTGCTGTTGTAGCAGCTAATCGCGATGGGAGACGACAGCTTGCATTTAAGATTCTCCTTGCGCATGCACACTGCGGCTCTTCGCGTACACGCGGAGCGCGGTTCTTTGTTGGTCCAGATTCTGGCGGCTGTGTCAGCCTTTGAGGCATGAACAACGCGCCAGCTGCATGACGCGTGAATGTCTAGTGAACTTTTGAAAGTGTGCTTAGGCGGGGATCGGGGCTATCCGTGCCTGGTGCATCAAGGGAAAACACGTTGCGATCGGGAAACTGCGCGGGATGGACGGAGTCATGGACGCGGGATGCGTGACAACGCGGCTTCCGCTGCGTGCGCGAGCATCCCTTTTCCCCGAAACTAAACGCAACCGGCGGTCATGAGTCGGGAAGAGCGCACGGTGGTCAACTCGGGTTCGTGCAAACCTGTCCGGTTGGGAGCTGAGTTCATGTGATTATCTCTAGTGACAGAAAATCCTCAGCTGTAGCTTTAGCGAAGCTGAGTTTTTGTGGGAGCAATTTGAAGCTATCAGGCACATCAACCTTCACGTGCACCTCAGCTTCCTTCGCAGTCCCGACGTCCGTCTCAACTCATAAGTACTGGCTTTCATTCGAGTCCCCGACTCCCCGCATTGGTCTTAACTCAGTGTAATATAAATTCAGACACTACCATTAAGAGACGGCGACCTGCTTGAAATTCTTCGAGTGTTCGGCAAGCTGGAGCGACGGTGGAGCGGTCAGTCGCTGCTGTCTCCCACTGCTGCGCCACCCGCTGAGCCACCCGCTGAGCCACCGCGCTCCGACCACGCCTGCATCTCCGTCGCCAACCACTACGACCGCTTCTAAACAACAGCCAGCGCGGCATCAATGTCGCACAAAAATCATGACGGAACAGCTGGCGCAAATTAACGGAGCTCTATTTCCGTTGGTTTCCCAAACTGACTTCAATCTCTGACCGCCCGAATGGTCGAGCTTTGATCAGAGTATGCAGCCTTCGACTTTTCTCGTTGAGCACAAAAATGGTGAGAGTTCGTGAATCGCCTGATTACCGAGGTAGCACAAGGTCATGGATCTCGGTCGCCGTTTGCAAGGTAATGGTTACATTGTCAGCGATGGCTAGCGTCTAAAAAACGAATAGGGAGGGACAGCGATGATGCGACGCACCGGTACATACTGAGTGGAGAATACTCGACATGCACGCGGCAAGGCGAGAACGACGGTGCGACGCGACCCTGGAACAAAGGTCTGAGACGTTGAGCACGGGGCCGAGGATTCATGATCACCACTGGATCACGCCGGTGAACCGACCCTAACCTGGCGACAAAGAAGAAGGTTCAGCAGCGTCAGGCGTGTACGCGTCCACTGTGTCGTACTGAAAGTAGTCGGCCGCAAAGCTCAACGATCCGATTGCTAAGCATGCGCGAGCGGAAGTCACTGGTGCTCGCGGCCCTGTAAATACCGCATCGTGCAGGTCGGCCTGAGCGACACCACCACGCCCGGGTTCCAGTAAGCGTACCTATACCTCTCGTCCGCGTCCGAGGACCAAAAGCGGCTGCGCGATTTGGTCTCAGCCCAGCGTTTTGTTGACGAGGTCACAGGCGAGGCGCACATGCACATCGACTTGGACCACAAGGACTTTTCCTGCCGCTCAACTTTGTCAACTAGCACGGATTCTCAGGCGACCAGAGCGACATGTTTGAGCCCAGCCTCAGTTTCAACCATGGGCCACGGCTTCTAGTGCTCGCTCAACCGAATATCGTGATTCTCCGGGGCCATGACGCTCATGGCCGTGGCCGTGGCGGCGTCGGTCAAGGACGCGTGCCTGCCACGCGCGTTAGACCTGTGCTGCTGTTCTCATCATTGACATGACAGATTTGAGCTACAGCTGAGACCCAAGTGTGTGCGCAGCACACACACCTAGCGAAACTTGATCGCTTCAAGTTCGCCTTCGGCGCGCATGAGAGGTGCAAGACGCCTTTTGGAGCCCGCGAGGAGTTTTCAACTACGCGGTGGTCCAAGAGGATCAACGCGGCCCGTTTCAGGACTTGTTTTCCCGCGCGTGCGTCGCTCGACTCACCGCTGGCAGCAGACGAGCGCTTTTTCGTCCGCGCCTCAGTCGTGTCGAAGCACAGGTGGGTTGGGCGAATGCGGGGAAATTAGGATTCCTAACAAAACGCTCAGATTTCGCGGGTCAATGGCCGAGAGGTCTAAGGCGTCCCACTCAAGCTGGGATCTCTTCGGAGGCGCAGGTTCGAACCCTGCTTGACTCATTTTGCCGCAGCGATCATTCCTCGCCATCGTTTTGACCCTGTGGGAGCCTCACGGACGCCTTAGGAGGCGCCCACCGCAGCCCGAGGCAGCTTTAGCCGGTTCGATTACAATACACATTGTCGTTTGACGGAGGAGTCCCTGCCATGATCAGCTGTCCTCCATGTCTCACTCAAACATGGACACAGTCAAGTTTTCAAGTCGGGCTTGTTCAACAAGCCGCTTAAAAGAGGATGCTTACTCTCTACGTGTTCCATCCCGTTCCTGTGCCCTGATGGCTCATAGTGTTCAAGGAGAGGTGTATGTTGCAGCCTCAAGTGCATACACGTGACAATCAGCCGCCTATCCCCACGCCCACGTTTAGACCGCACTTTCATGTTCACTCGTTGCCACCACACGCTGCTCAAGCGCCTAAAAACGATGCACCGCGTCTTCCAAATCCCGCAAATCGTGATGCACCCTGCGCAAGTGGCAATCTTTGAGGGCTCGCTCACTCTTGTCACCCTCGCCGTCCACGTCTTCGCTTGCGTCGCCATCGTCTTCTACTTGACCTCTCGCCTCTGCATTACCCCAAGAAGCCAAGACGAGAGCTTTAGATGGACCGCCCAGCAACTTTGCTGCTGCAGCGGTCTCAAGCGCAAAGCGTGCCGCGTCAAAGCAGCCACGTAAGTAACGAGAGTGTGCACAGAGCGAGATGGATCTATGGCAAAGTCAAGAGCAAGGGTGAAAGGGCGTGGCTCTGCGCCGGTACCAGCCAAAGGCCGTGCGGCTCTGGATCTCGCCGTGATCATTTCGATTGTCTCACGTGAGTGGTGCAGCGCGTCCCAGGCAGGGAACGCTATCGAACGTCAGCACTTCGGTTTCGGTTCCAAAATCCAAACAGTTGAAAGCCACTACGCATGCTTTTTCAGTGGAAACAACATTGTACTTTCTCACTTTCTCACTGTTGAAAGCATTCCTTGCCATGCGAACCACTTTGAGGAATGAAACCTGTTTACTCGGCCCAAAGGGCTCACTAAACCAACAACCAACAAACTACCGAATCATGCACAATCCAACCTACTGGGAAGCCTTTTCCCCACGGCCGCCCTTATCCTCTTTCGCAGCGGGCTCCTTTTCGACCACCTTCTTGGGCGCGGACCCACTCTGTATCCGCTTCTTGGGCTCGGGGATCTTGCCACCGTGGAACTACTTGCTCAGCGGAGCCGTCTCGATGAGCGACTCGACGGCCTTCTTGATCCCCTCCGTCGGCCCAGTCGTTGTGGGCAGCCGCGACGTGACAACGCCCAAGACCGCGGCTTGCGCACTTGCGAGTAGGTCGCGCGTCACCGGGGTCTGCTTGCCCACAGCTGGCACAGCGTGAGGTTCTCGGTCCCAAGGCTGGTCACGGGCTCCGGATGCACAGTGGTTGTCAAGGCCGACTCTGCTGCAGTCGTCGCGTTACCCATGGCCGCTGGGCTCGCTGGCTGCAGCGGATGAATGAGACGAAGGAAGTCAATCTCAATTTGTGCCGCGGCGGCATCATCATCCTCGGTTTGGTTTGGCGAGGGCACATCGCCGCCAAGCCCACTGTGAGGAATCTGACTCGTCAGCGGCATGAGAAGTTTGACTTTCGGGTGATGGATCTGGTAGACGACGGCGCGGGTGCGGAAGTCCTGCGAGCCTAGATGCAGCGCCACGGCCTTGCGCTCACTGAGAAACTCGCGCGGCGAGTTAATGAGCTCAGGCGTGATCTTGCACGCGTCGCCCCCAGATCACGCCGTCGGGATGCTCCGCCATGAAAGTGTTGATGCTGTCAGACAGGCGCCAATGCGTGCCGACGAGGAAGAACGCGCCAAAATACCCGCCGCAGGGGCTCGCCCGCAAAGACTCGACAACGTCCGCCAGGTCAAAGTTGGGCGCGAGCGTGTACGGCAGCGCAGCATTCGTTGTTGCAGGGGCAGCACAAGTAGTGGCGGAAGAATCAGCGGCGGCGAAAGGTGATGGAGCCGATGACGCCGAGTGACTCGCGCTCGTAAAAGTCCAAGGCCGAGTAAGGTCCGCTGGATCACACGAAAACTCGTACACGACACCAGCCAGAGTAATGTATCTGAGGCGCGTCTGTTGTTAGATAGGTTTCTGGTGCACACTCGCAGGAAGCTCATCCGTACCGAGTGAAACTTTCGTCATCGCCAGGAAACGGCGCCAGAAGATCGAGCTTGGTGTACGACGGGGGCGACTCGACAGGGCCAAACGCACCGTCGCCCAAAAGCCCCATGTCGTTGCCGTCGTCGTCGATCTCGGCGACAATGAGGTGCGGCACGTCGAGGCATGAGCGTTGGTCCACAAGTTCGCGAGGGCACCCGACTCCTGCAGCATGTCGTGGACAAACTGGACGACGGTCTTGCCCGACTGGCGGTGGAAGAGCAGCACGCCAAATTTGAACTTGCTGCCGCCGACCTGTTCAACAGGAACACCGTTTCGCGGGTCCTTGTCGGTCGTGAAGGTGAGAAGCGGGCGAGGAAGCGAGCGAAGCGTGAGGTCGCCGTTGGTAAGCTTGGGGATGGCCCAGGTGAGGTAACGCTTGTCGAGCTCGGAAAAGACCTCGAGAGCATCGGTCACAGAGAATCGTTCGATGTCTAGACAAGCCAGGGTACGAGGGTCAGTACAAGTCCCACGCGATGAAGAGAGGGCAGCGAATGCGCTGCGCAATGTCCCAAATGGGTAGGCGAGGGATGAATTCGACAAGCGAGCGTACCGTTGGAGATGATCGGAACGGAGCCGCAGCCCATGAGCAGCGGGATCAGCGCGTCAAAGTTGCGGTCGGTGAAGAGGGCGGCGGCGAAGCCGAGTCGGTTGACGACCAGCTCGAGCGTCTCGGGGCGTGCAGTGAAGGCGTCGCTGGCTCAGCGCAGCGGCGCGGCGCGGCCCTGCGTAGGATCGGTCACTCGCGTGTCGGCGACCAAGGGAAGCTTTAGCGAGGACAGCAGGCCAAAGTGCCACAGCCCGTCGGCCTGGTCAACGGGGTAGAGAATGGCCAACGCGAGGGCTGCGAGAAGGCAAGAGAATTTGACAAGCTTGGGCTCGGTCCGCGAGCCGTTCGGCGCGACCGTGTACAGGTGAGTCCCGAGAGCGGGGCACTGCACGGGAGCCGCAATGGTCATGTGCACGGGCGGCTCGAGGTCGATGTGAGCCCAAGTCGCCATTTTGGCGGGCGAAGCGAGGAAACGGCGGGGCGACGATGGCACAGAAAATTGGAGGAAGTGACACCGTGGTACGGGTGCGTTACATGGACTTGCTTCATGCGGGCTTCCGAGGCGCGGGAGGAGAAGCGCTCGTGTGGCGGCGACAGCGGCGAGTCGACTGACGCGCACCTCGCGAAAGCACGTCCTGAAACGGCACCGGGCTGGCGCCGCGGCGCGGTTCGGATGAACGACGCGTCGGTCGCGTCGGCTTCACGGTGCGTTGATCGCGGACCGGCCCGCATACAAGCAGCGGCGCAACGACCTTTCATTCGTATACTTGCACTTTTCACGCGGGTTTCTCGGCGCGTTGGCTCGGCATCACGTACTCGTGGTCGCAGAACGTGGCGACAGCATAACTGAAAGCGTTGACGTATGATTTAACCAGGACTTGCACCCCGAGCTTGCTGCAGCGACCCCAGCTCATGGCGCAGGACACCTTGACGGTTCGCCAATCTCGCTGTGCTCAATCCCAGTCGGGGCCCGGAGTACTCGCGCGCGCTACAACCATCGACGTGATCGCCGGCGGCGTCAGCATGATCCCGACGTTGGACCGTGCTATTTGCGACGATCCGCCGGCCTCGAGGCCTTGAAACGTCCGCCGACTAGCTGCGGATGGCGAGCTGACGTTTCTCGATCGTGACGAGCGCAAGGTCCTGACGAATACACTTTGCGTTTCCGTCGGACGGGCACTCACGATTTCACGAGCTCATGAGCCGCAAGCTTGTCCCGCTTCTCTGACGCGGATTCAGCGCGCGGGTCGAGTCGGGTCGAGACGTACGACGACGCAGCCATCGGATTGATTGCGCGACCCGCCGTTGCGCGACACTGCCAAGACGGACTTTCAAGGGATCAGGCAGGCTAGTGTCGGCCGGCCATGGTGCTCTCACTCTGGATCTGAACGACGAATGCGGGAGCAGTAGACGCGCTGTAGCCGTTGCTCGCACTGAATAATATGTGGGACTTTGCTAATTGACTGAGATGCGAGATATAGACGGGGGACAGTTTGGTCGAAATGACGGCGGAGCGAGTACTCGCGCGGGGCGCGGGGAGAACCCGAAAGGTCCTCGATTCCGATGGGACGCGTCCCGGCGCGCCGTCTGTTACGCATACGGGACATGGGCAACCTCCCTCAGCGAAGCAAGGTCGGGCGTTAGTGGATTGGCCTCCGCTGACGCTAGGCGTGTGCGGGCATGCCATGCATCTTCCCCCCTTTGAGTCCCCGGATCGAAACCCAACCCGCGACCGGAACAACTCAGACGGATGTAAAACCCTGCGAGGGAAGGGGAGCATGGCCTCTAGCGCACACAATTCGGAATTGGGCCGAGGCGGGGATGGGAGGGAGGGGGGGGACCGACAACAGAACAGAAGCCGGAAGCCGGAAACCAAGCACACAGGAACGGAATTCAAATACGAATTTGAATTTCGTTTTCGTTTTTGGGCTGACGCGTTTTCGCGTTTTGCGCGCAAACCCGCGCGTTCGACACGCGCACGTGGCCGGGCGCGCGTCTCAGTTTGGCCTGTGGCGGCGCCCGTTTCCCTTTCGGGGTCCCGCGCCGCTCTTCTCGCCCCTGCTGATACATCATCCCCCCTCGCATTGCACACCGACTCTAGCTAGATGCAACGGATGGACTCCATGGACCCGACGGCGCTGGGCGGCTTTGCGGCGACCCATCGCCGCCGCTGCTGCTTGCGATTGACCAGGTCCCTACTACTGCTGCCACCCAACAACAGCTTCTCGATGTCGATCCCAACACGCCGCCGCCGCCGCCGCTCGACGC